AAAAAATATTGTAAGCAGCCAGAAAGAAACAATTTAAGTATCATGGAACCACAAGGCTCACATAAGATTTAGCAGCTTCTACATTGAAGGATCAGAAGGCTTGGAATATGATATTCCAGAGGGCAAAGGAGCAAGGATTATAACCAAGAATTACCTACCCAGCAAAACTGAGTATACTCCTTCAGAGGAAAAAACAGACATTTAATGAAATAGAGGACTTTCAGGTATTCTGATGCAATCACCAGAGCTGAACAGAAAATCTGACTTACAAATACAAGATTCAAGAGAAGCATAAAAAAGCAAAGAGGAAAGAGGAATTAGGAATTATAAAGAATTCAATAAGGTTAAATTATTTACATTCTTACATGGGAAGATGACACTTTTAACTCCTAAGAACTTTATCATTATTAGGGCAGTTAAGAATATACATAAAGGGAACAGGTGTGAGTTGAATATGATAGGATAATATCTAAAAAAAACAAAATTATGAGGTGAGAAAGAAGAATGCACTGGGAAAAAGGGGAAAGAAAAGGTAGAATGGGTTGAATTATCTCATATAAAAAAGAGGCACAAGAGAACTTTTAGAGTGGAAGGGAAGATTTGAAATGGGGTTGGGGTGAGGGAGAGAAGAGTGCTTGAACTATACTTTCATCGCAAATGGCTCAAAGAGGAAATGACACACTCAGCTGGGTATAGAAATCTATCTTACTTGCAGGAAAGTGGGAGGCGAATAGGATGGGGTAGGGAGCAGCGCTGATAAAAGGGAGGGCAGATTGGGGAAGGTGGTAGTCAGAAGAAAAATTTGAGGATGAACAGATTAAAAGGAGAAGAATAAACAAGGGGGAATAGGATGGCAGAATTTACATCACATTTTTCTGATAAAGGTCTCATTTCTCAAATATATAGAGAATCGAGCCAAATTTATAAGAATACAAGTCATTCCCCAATTGATAAATGGTCAAAGGATATGAACAGGTAGTTTCAGATGAAGTAATCAAAGTTATCTATAGTCATATGAAAAAATGCTCTGAATCACTACTGATTAGAGAAATAAATAAAATCAACTCTGAGGTACCCCCTCCCCCCACACATACCCTATCAGATTGGCTAATATGGCAAAAAAGGAAAATGACAAATGTTGGAGGGGATGTGAGAAAATTGAGATATTAATGCATTGTTGATGGAGTTGTGAACTGATTTGACCATTCTGGAGAACAATTTGGAACTATGCCCAATGGGCTATAAAACTGCATAAAACTCTTTGAAACAGCAATACCACTACTAGGTCTGTATCCCAAAGAGATTTAAAAAAAAAAAAAAGGAAAAAAAAAGACCTATGCATACAAAAATATTTATAGCAGCTGTTTTTGTGGTGGCAATGAATTGGAAATTGAAGGGATGCCCATTAATTGGGGAATGGCTGAACAAGTTGTAGTATGTGATTGTGATGGAACTCTGTTGTGTTATAAGAAATGACAAGCAAGATGCTCTTAGAAACACCTGGGAAATAAGCCCAACTGGGAGAACACTGGACATACTAACAGCAAGTTTGTAAGATGATCACTTGTAAATGACTTAGTTATTCTCAGCAATACAACGATCCAAGACAATTCTAAAGGACTTATGATAAAAAATGCTATCTACACCTCCAGAGAAAGAACTGATGGAGTCTGAATACAGATCAATGCAATTTTTTTAAACTTTCTTTTTCTTGTTCGTTCGGTCTTTGTTTATTTTTCCACAAGACTAATATTGACATGTATTTTGTATGACTGTACATGTATGACCTATATTAAACTGCTTGCCTTCTGAAGGAGGGAGAGGAGAGAGAAGAGAGAATTTGGAACTCAAAATTTTAAAAAATGAATGTTAAAAATTGTTTTTACATGTAACTGGGGAAAAAAAACAAAATTTTTCTAATGAAAAAATTAAACCAACATGACAAAGGCATTTCTAGTATCTGTGGAGATTCCCAACCCCTGAAGGGCAATTTCTTTTGAATTAGGAATAAACTTTATTTGGGCAATACTTTAAGAAACTAGGCTAAAACAGAAATTTGAAGTTATAGTAAGAACATACTTAATTCAAATAAAACATTCCCAAGTTTGTAATAATTCCATATATACTGATCTATGTTCACATTTGTACTAAATAACCCACTTGGTATTTTACTGGAAGTCTAATTTTACTTACACAAGAAAATCTGATATATTATTAACTCAAATTTTTTATATTTAACCTCTCAGTTAATAAAAGATGCAGGTAGCAGTAGTGGTGGTAGCAGTCATAATAATATGATACTTTTGGAGACCAAAAGGCCTTCAAAGAATGGTCCAAGTTTCAATTGTACTACCTAAGCCAAAGTTTTTAAGAGTCCCTCCTCTAGATCAATACTCTCAGAAATATTTTTTACAACATATTATGCCTGAGAAAACCTCAAAACTCTGCAAAGGAGGAAGTCAGGCAATAGCTATATTATCATGCCTAAAAGTAAAGCATTAATTTGTAACTGTTTTTATGTTTCCATTTTTTAGATGTCCATGGTAAAGTATTAAAAGTATTAACCTTGAAAAAGCAATTTTTTAACATCACAGACATCTTCCCCAAAGTTTTTAAAAATTTTTTTGCCATGTTGATTT